GCGAGTGGGCCCAGGCAGCAGCTCCGGCTGCGATGATGGCAGCAGCTCCGTGCTGCAAGGCAGCTTCAGCCTGGGCTCAGTGGCAGTGGTGTGGGCAGCAGGACCTCCCCACTGCTTGTGTCAGCCACTCTGCGGGCAGCCGGCAAGTTCACACCTGGCTTGGTGGAGGCAGAGCTGGTCGCTCTTCAGATGAGCAGTGGGGTGAGCTCCAAGCCCAGGTTGTCTGTGTGTGTAACAGTTTAGTGTCTGTGATAGGTGGATGTACTGGACGGACTGGGAGGAGGATCCCAAGGACAGCAAGAGGGGCAAAATCGAGAGAGCCTGGATGGACGGTTCCAACCGCAACATCTTCATCACCTCCAAGACTGTCCTGTGGCCCAACGGGCTGAGCCTGGACATCCCAGCCAAGATCCTCTACTGGGTGGATGCTTTCTATGACCGCATTGAGATGGTCTATCTCAACGGCACCGAGCGGAAGGCAAGTGGAGGCTCCGCAGGCTCTCAAACGCTGATCGCCCCAGCACTGGGGCCATGGGCAGCCGAGCCATTGCCTCAGCTGGCTGCATCCACTGCGGGTCTGCTCAGTGGGTGGTTGGCCACGTTCAGCCACCCTCCCCTGCCGCCTGCCCCCTCCTCTCCCCTTCCAATGTCCCTTGCCCTGTCCTGCCATGTGGGGTTTCCCCGGGCACCCCTCGCAGCTAACGCTGAGGCTCTCCACCTCCCTGCGCCCACAGATCGTGTACGAGGGACCTGAGCTGAATCACGCCTTCGGGCTGTGCCACTACAGCAGCTTCCTCTTCTGGACCGAGTACCGCAGCGGCAGCATCTACCGCCTGGACCAGGCCTCCAAGGTGGTGAGCCTGCTGCGGAACGAGCGCCCGCCCATCTTTGAGATCCGGATGTACGATGCGCAGCAGCAGCAAGGTGTGGGGGCCACCTCTGCCTGGCACCGCGGGGACCTGCCCCTCACAAGGGAGCCAGGGGGCTGGAAGAGGGATGAGACTGGGGGCTGAGGAAGTGCCCTTTTTGCTTCCTTTTGGCCATGTCCCTGTCTGTCTGTCCATCCCCATACACCCTGTCTTTCTCTCCATAAACCCTGCAGTCACTCATCCCCTGCCCTTCCAGCCTTTCCTCTCTTTCTCCATGTCCCTCCCTGCCTGCCAGGCTTTGTGGCTGGTTAGCCAGGCTTTGTGTCCCCTGAGGGGTCCCTGCTGCCTTGCATGGCCTGATGAACTGGGGTCTCCAGCGGGGTTCCAACTGTGGAGCCTGTTGAGGGAGTCCAGGGGGCTGGGGGCACCCAGCCACCCCACCGTGGGTCAGCAGGGATCCCTGAGTACTGAAGCCCCCTTCTCCTTCACCCCTGCCTTGCCTCCACAGTGGGGTCCAACAAGTGTCGGGTAAACAACGGCGGCTGCAGCAGCTTGTGCCTGGCCACCCCACGGGGCCGTCAGTGTGCCTGTGCTGAGGACCAGATCCTGGGACCAGACTCTGTCACCTGTCAGGGTAGGCTGCTTTGGGGCCTGGCCTTTTCCACAAGGGGTGGGTGGGGACACTGGGTCTGCAGCTCTGCTCTGGCACATCAGCAGTGATGCCCCACGCAGTGCGGGGCTGGCCCCGGGCTCGGGGAGGTGGGTGCTCCCTGCACCCATGCAAGTGACGTTACCGGCTCCAGTTCCTCTTGCACGATGGCAGCAGGACAGCCTCCTGCCTGGGAAGCGGGTGGAAATCCCTGGTGGGGAGTCTCTGAGCAGAAGCTGTGCAACCATGTCTGACGCTGCCCACACAGTTGGGGCAGGTTCGCTCTGCTGCCAGCGTCGGGGAGAGCCAGGTTCAGGGTGCGGACCCTGGGCGTACTGTGCTTTGCCGGCTTAAAGGAGAGGGGTGAAGCTCTGCTGGTGCAGCCCATGTGTGCAGGCTGAGCCGGGGTCTCTTCCCCTTGATCACGGGCTGCACCTTCTTGTTTCGTACTGAGGAGCTGGCGCACATGGGCGTGGGTGTGTGCGCTCTCAGGGCTGCTGGGCAGTCGTGCAGACGTCCTGCCAGCCTGGTGCAGGACTGTCCTCACTGCTGCCCTGCACTTGGTCACTTGGTGAAAATCGTCCCCTCCCTTTGCTTTTCCCTTGCCAGCCAACCCGTCCTACATCCCCCCTCCGCAGTGCCAGCCTGGGGAGTTCGCCTGCAAGAATAACCGCTGCATCCAGGAGCGCTGGAAATGCGACGGGGACAACGACTGCCTGGACAACAGTGACGAAGCCCCTGAACTCTGCCGTGCGTAGCCACCTCCTGCACAGTGGGATAGTGGTTTACATGCTCCTGGGGCGTCAGGATCCGGGCTAAGCTTCCCCTAGATGTGGGGCTGGTGGCTGGGACAGGGTCAGGCAGCCAGGACCCCTGCATCTCCTCCCCAGCTCGAGGAGGGGAGCGGGCTGGAGCGGTTGAGGGGGGACATGGTGATTAGGATCCTGGATCCGCAGTTTGTCTGAGGCTTCCTGCCCTTTTCTGTCTCAGCTTTTCTCTCTGCCAGACATGGAGGAGGAATGGGGGTGGGATGGAGAAGGGCAGGTCCTGAGCATGTGTCTCCCCTGCAGACCAGCACACCTGCCCCTCGGACCGTTTCAAGTGCAAGAACAACCGCTGCATCCCCAACCGCTGGCTCTGCGATGGGGACAACGACTGTGGGAACAACGAGGACGAGTCCAACTCCACCTGCTCAGGTGAGGAGCCTGCCTCAGCCTCGGGGAACAGAGGGAGAGCTCGCACTGCTGTGCCGAGCCGCAGCCTTCGCTGTTCCTGCACGCTGCGGGGCTGAGGCCGAGGTTTCAGGGCCTCACGCGCCCCTGGTGCCCACCTTGCAGCCAGTTTGGCTTCTGTGCCTGTGCCTCGCAGGAGCCCCGGGGGGTTTGCTCCCTGCCTTTCCCCCAGCAAAGCAAGGCACCACCAGCTACTAAAGGTCTGTCTGTCTCTCCCCGGGCCAGCTCGGACCTGCTCCCCCAACCAGTTCTCCTGTGCCAGCGGGCGCTGCATCCCCATCTCCTGGACGTGTGACCTGGACGATGACTGTGGGGACCGCTCAGACGAGTCTGCCTCCTGCGGTGAGCTGGGGCGGGGAGCGCTGCTCCTCACCCCACCATGGGGCAGAGGCACCAGTGGGGCTGGGCGTGAGGAGCACACACTGATTGTGCCTCTGCCTTCTCCGCAGCCTACCCGACCTGCTTCCCCTTGACGCAGTTCACCTGCAACAACGGGCGCTGCATAAACATCAACTGGCGATGTGACAACGGTAAGGACCACGGCCCTGCGGCTGCCCAGGGGGGCGCAGCCGGGACGGTGAGATCAGACGCAGGGGTGCCAGCCTGGCAGGGGGCCCTGTTCCTGCAAGGGCCACTTCTCAGCCTTGTGCTAAACAGCGGAGCCCATGCCCTGAAGGGAGAAGGCATTAGCTGAAGCTGTAAGCGCATCCTGCAGCACAGACCCACATTTTCCTTGGCTGCCCTTGCAGCCGTTTGGGGGAGCGTGTGTTGCAGGAATAACCTAGCAGGGATCATTTCAGCAGACCTTGGTGTTCTTTGTGAGGTGGCCAAAATTCTGCCCCAGTGCTTGAGACGAGTGTGGAGTGGCCTGTGCTGCTGGCGAGGCTGAGCTGTGTCCCGTAGCCCCGGGGAAGGCAGGAGAGGTCTCCTGGTGAGCTCACATCTGGCCTCGGAGCTGTTTCCAGGGCCAGGCCTGGGAGAGAGGGTTTGCACCATGGCTGCTTTCCTTCCCCACAGGTTTATTTCAGTCTTTCTATCAGCTCTGCATCGTTAGGTTTAATTAGTGGCTTCAGAGCAGGAGAGACACTTTCAGAGCTGCAGAGTGCATGTGCCAGTGCAGGGGGTCAGCGGGGAGCTGTGGGTGCAGGCCTGTCCCTGGGGTCTTCCTGAGCAAATGGCCCCTTCCTTCTGGGGCAGCCCCACCTCTGAGCCATCCCTGCCAAGGGACAGTCTCTTCTCCCGGGGATCCACCAGTGCTGGCAGCCAGCTCACAAAAGCAACGGCCTTGGCACGGAGCACGTCCGTGCAGCCGAGAACCTCGCCAAGAGCCTGCGGAGCAGGAGCTGCAGTGACAAGGGGCTCCCGGCCCGGCTGCCCTGGGCTCCCCCAGCACCTTCCGCTGCTTCTGGTCTCGCCTCCCAGGCCGCTCAGTGTGCCTGCCTCTGTGTGTCCCTCTCCATGTCAGTGTCCGCGTCCCGGCGTCAGCGTGTTTTTGTGCTGCCCTCTGTGCGTGTGCCGTGTCGTGTTGTTTTGTTTGTCATTGTGCCCACTCTCCTGTCTGGTTGGTTCTGTGTTTCAGAAAAAGATTGTGGGGATGGCTCTGACGAAAAGAACTGTCCAAAGCCTACCGGTTAGTGCATAGATCAACATGCACCAGACCCCCAACCTGGCCCTACGCAACCCCCAAACCTGCCCCTTCCAGAGTGCTGCAAGCCCCGTGGGCTGCTTCTCCAGACACTGGCAATGCCCCCCCCACTCTCTGGCAATGCCCCCTGTGCCCTCTGGCAATGCCCCCTGTGCTCCAGCAGCGGGAGGGATGTGCCGGGTGCTGGGGAGCAAGGCTGCCATCCCTCCCAGCTCGCCGAGTGGAGTTGCTCGGGAAGCTCCTGTTGGTGGGAGCCTGGAGAGGCCAGAGTCTGCGGTTGCAGGAGCTGGGCTGCTGGTGAAGCTACACAGCAGCCGTCAGTGCTGTCGTCCCCGTGCCCATCGTGAGCTCCGCTGTGCGGGGGAGACAGAGGCCCTTTGTCAAGCTCAGGTGGGGTGTCTGCAGTGGGGCAGAGACCTGTGGTGGTTCCAGCAAGCCAGGCCAACCCGATGCCCTGTGCCAGTGCAGGAGGCAGCGGGGCTGCATTGCCAGTGTCCTGGCACCATCAGACTAAAGCTCCCCCTGCCCGTCAGTGGGCGATGGGGTTTCCTCCAGGCAAGCTGACACCCCTCAATTGGCCATACCAGCCCACCTCCCTGTGGATGCACCCCATTAAGGAGTGCACCGTCACCCCAGCTCTGCTGCCCTGTGGAGCGGAGCAGCCCCCTTGGCACTGGGCGCCCTCCCGCCCCCCCCAGGTACATGGCTGATCTATGCAGTTTCTGTGTTTCAT